CTCCAGAAATCGATTGCAACACATAAACATGCAAATCTACCACACTGCATATACTGTAAGCACGAGTGGGCATTTTTTCTCTCTCTGTAGTACTCCGATTGTGGATCGGGTCCAGAGGGGTCAGTGAGCAAGGGCTTTGATCCAGATTTTAAGCTTTGCCTCCCAGACACCCACTGAGTGCTCAACCAGCAGAAAAATGTGACCTGAAACCTTTTTCCAGTCAAATCTATCTGCAGTGGAACATTTTTATCAGATGTGATGAGTCAAAAATATTTACGTAAGACTGTAGAATTACTAAATTTTGAAATAGAAATGCTATCAGTCACAGGGTGCAAGTGCTTGCTCTTAGCAATTGTATACAGATTAAATATTAATAGCAAAACTGCTGGTCATTGTGGAAATTATGTCAGTTGAGGAATAGCCTGAATGCGGCTAAAAATAGAAATCATTTTCACACAATAAACATAAAAACATAATATTAATATACATTTTCTTGAAAGATGTTAGCTTACTTTTCAACTTTAAAAAATATCATACAATTGAATGCAATGGAATATCAATTTAAAATATATAAAAAAAAAATATTAACTATATAAACTTATATATGTTAGTGGGAATTTAGATTCACCTGAGTGAGTCAATTCTTTTGGGAAAAAAAAAAAAAAAAGATTCTTTAAAATTTGACATACGATATATGATATTTGACATATCCTGGCCACAATTCTGAACAAATGAGTCTTTGAATGATTTACTCAACCGATTCATAACAAAAACAGTAATTTATCACCAAAACAAATCTTAATATCCTTTAATAAAATATATGTGTGACTCCAAAATAGTGTTTAAGGGTATACAACATCCCCACCCCCTTCCATTGTATTCACAATATGTTCACAAAATAAATAAATAAATAAATAAATAAATACATACATACATGTTTTAAAACATGTTAAAAAGCACGTGTGTTGTTCAATTTTACTCTCAACGATTTTGGATTTCTGAGACATGCACAATAAAGATAATGCTATGTGGCCGTTTGATTTGTACTATAAATTACACTGTGAACATTTAAAATCAACAAACTCTTAGGTGCTTTCAGCCACAAAGTGTTAGTGTGGTCTCAGCTATTAAATATTTAGCACTTAAAAGTCCTGGATACTGACATACTGCAGTAGAGGTAATAAAAGTCTAAGATCAGTTCAAATGTTAGCATATTATCGTATGATGTAGGTGGTCTTAAGGAAAAGGATCTGTGCAATATTCACAGTGTGACAGGGAATATAAATCGCACATGAGTTTTCGTAGCAGCCATTTGAACACTTCAGACTAGTAAAACTCCTATGTGCAATAGATCTGCATTTGTTTATTTGAGTAGCTGGCTGCTGAAGGGCCATGAGGTTCATTAAAAGCAATAAGAAAATAAAATAAATTCCTACACTTGAATAAAAGGAGCAGTAAATTGTGCCTCTGCCACTGTCGTATTATGAAACAGAAAGGTATGACCGAATACTTCAGAAAACCTTCTGCTGTGTGAGTATTGCGATCCATTCAAGGTTCTTTGTGGAACCATAGATGCCAGCAAATAACCTTTATTTTTAAGAGCGTACAGGTTTGTTTGACATGAGAGTTAATTACAATTTTCGGTTTTGTTTGAACTCTATGAATACAAAATAAGTGATACATAAATTTTTGCTTTTTTATTGTGCATTATAGGACTTTTTAGGGGCTGACCGCCTTCGCAGATTCCTTACTATCACACAAGACATTTATATATATATATTTTCCCCCCTCAGTAGATGTGATTCCATGTAAAATATGGTAGCCTATCATTTTACTTCTGCATATTTTTGGGTTCAGTATATAATTCATTGTCTGTATGGCAGACAGATTTATGTTCAAATTAAACTTTGTGGACTGAGAAGGACGAAGCAGTCAATCACTGCCATTTAGAAGATAAAAATAAATAAAAAAGACATCTGGAAAGTCACTAAAAGGGCTCTTTGCAACGTGATACGATGGAACTCGGATACTAGGATCAATTTATTTTCAATAAGGAGGGAGACACTCTCATTTCTCAATGTTCAATGATTATAATTCTCTGCCCTTCCTTGTCATTTAATCTAACGATCGTAAATTGATTGCCAAATCACTTGGGTCCTAATAAGTGTGTGGAGTTTTCCCTCCCACTGGATATAGGCCAACGTCAAGCTGTCCCTTCACTGTTAGTCGGCTTCTATTTAAATATCATGTCGCGTTTACAGTAATCTGGTCCTAATTAAAATGTACAGTCTGACAGAGTGCAGTATCGGCACATTCTGTGCGTCTTTCATGCCAGTGAGTGAATAGTTAATGAACGCTATGCTGCCTTGAGCTTTGGAGAGAGGGAGAGAGAGAAGCATTAAGTAGGAAGGCAACAAGGCACATAAGTACACAGTATACATAGACATTTCTGTTAGTATTGATTGGTTATTGCTTACTAAGATCTGTGGTAAAAGTGGTGCCTGAAGGAACGGCTGAACGGAGTAAATCAATTGATAAATGTTTTCCTTTATTTCAGCTCTGAGAAATACGCATTGCAGTCTCTGAATATTTGCTTGAGAATCTCTAAAGCTCACTTGAATTTGTTGTACATTATTAGACATGACGTTATTGGAAGACTGTCTGAAAGCAGTTACCTTAGAAGGTGCTTTCATACAAACACGGCGCCTGTCAAGTCAATGACTAACTGGGTAGCAAGACAGCTGTCTTTGGTTTTCAAACACACGCAGAGAGAAAAAGCGAGATTCCCTTAAGTTTGCCTCAGCCACCTCGAAGACAATGGAGAACATCTGGATAAAATGTTAATAACTTAATGTGAAACAGAGACTGCATATACAAGTTAAATTCATGATAGGAAAGCAGGGTAAAATGAATTAATCTAGGAGTTTGTGTGGGATAAAGAGCTTCTGAATTCATTCAAAAGCTCCAACTCAATTCATTCGTGTATCTGACATTGCCGCTTCTTTTATGAATGCTGCAAACTACTGTAGGTAGAACGTTAAAATTTTCAGTGAGAAACAACTTAAATTTGGACTTCAAGCTTATCTTACCTCTTGTATGATACTTTTATGATGATTTTGCATCTCAAAGTAATTGCGACTTTTTATATCGAAATTCAAATTCGCACTTGCGAGTTTATATCACGCAATTCCAAACCTTTTTTTTTTTTTTCCTCAGAATTGACCATTCGCAAAGAGCTTGATTGACAGGCGATCTGACCAATCAGAACGCGGATATTATGTGCCGCCGCTGCTATCCGCCATCTTGCCCGACATCTATGGCCAGTCTCCATAGAAATCCATGTTAAGACGGGGTAAAAAAGATCGACTGAATTGAAACTTTTTCAATATATTTTCATAGATTTCATGTTATATTGTCAGCTCAGAAAATATGTAAATGCGCATGCCCAGCAGCCGCAGCTGTATCCCTTCTAGCAATAACCACAAATCAGACAGGAGATTTTACATATTTTCCGAGCCGACAATATAATGTGAAACCTATGAAAATGGTTTAAAAAAGCACATGGCGCCATAGTTTCATCATTTTACAGTGTCACAATGACCGTCTTTTTGCAGTAAAAGACCTGTCATAGTTTGATGAGTCGGAAGATGACATGAAGCGACGCGAGGATAGCTGCATTGAAAACAGATGAGCTCCCATATGCATATACAGCTCCCATATGCATATACAGCTCCCATTCGGGGCAAAGTTCACGGGATTTTGTCCACAGAATGATAAAAACACACGTTTTAACACTCAGTATTTTAACTGAAGCGCTGCAAGCCATGCATATAGCGCCGGACATGACAGGTTTTCCGATACGCAAAACTTCCTTAGCTTATTGCCGTTACTGTGGCAGCCAACAACAGCACAGCTTAACCCTCTGCACATTTTTTTATATTTAGTTATATTTAAAAAGTTTCAATTCAGTCGATCTTTTTTACCCAGTTTTAACATGGATTTCTATGGAGACCGGCCGCAGCTGTCGGGCAAGATGGCGGATAGCAGCCGCGGCACAATATGCATAATATCCGCATTCTGATTGGTCAGATCACCTGTTAATCAAGCTTTTTGAGAATGGTTCATTGAAAAAATCAGTTTGGAAAAATAAAAAATAACAAAAAATAAACAGTTTTATTATGTGGCAGAAAAAAATTAACCAGGGTGGGGTTAGGGGTGGACCTTATTTAGTTAGTATGTTAAGGTCAATAGTTAGTTAGGTGCCGTGCCATATGAATCACACACAAATTCACAAGAAATTGCCACCAAGAAAAGTACAGTACCAATTTGGTTTGGCTTCACCCAAGCAAGAAAGTCAATCAAGTTTGAACGACAAAAGACATAAGAAAGACATAAGGCTGAACAAATACAGAGAAAAGCTTAAGTGGCCTTTTATTTGAATAATATTATACTACCTGCAAGAACAGTTTATATATATATATATTTTTTATTTTTTTTTAGTGAACTGTCCCCTTAGGGACACGGAACTAGACTATTTACTGGCAATTAGTGTTATGGCGTAATTTCACTTAATGACACTGACAATAAATGGTACACAACTAAACATATCAGCACGAAAATCAAGCTCACATCCTTAAACAGAGAAGGGGAAGTTAAAATGTAAGTGTCATTCCACCCCAGCCTGTAATCTCTTTACTCAGGACAGTGTGGGAGGACCGACCGAACGAGAGAGAGAGAGAGAGAGAGAGAGAGAGAGAGAGAGAGAGAGA